AAATGAAACAAGACAAGGAGTGGGGTTATTTGTCAGGTAGGGAGTCAACAGCTGTTAACGTACATCCTTTCCACTTTTTTGGATTATTGCTTGTTTCAGCCTCCGTTCCTCCATCTTACCCTGTGATGACAGTGCTTAAGATTGTCGTATATACTCCCTGCTTCCACTCTCCCACTTCCTCCTTCCCCACCACACATGTAAGACAGATCAGAGAAAACCCAGGCAGAGAAGGATAAAGGGCTATCCACTCTAAATTAGGACTAGTACCATTTTGAAAAATCAACACATGCTATAATTTCATAAAACCAATGGATTGTTCTAAAGCCCCCAGGGTTCTGAGGCTACTGATTTACTGACATATCAGCTTATACAAACTTTTAAAAGGAAGCACTGCTTTGACTTCACACGACACCATTCTACAAGGAGCTCAAGAATTTCAAAAGGTTTACACTTACATATACATATACTTTTTACAGAAGAGGAAGGGGAGCAGGGCTATCAACCTCACGTTATCTACACTAAGGGAAATGAACAAAGCTAACAGCGCTCCCAAAATAAAACCCAGGACTTAAAGTGTCTTTTCTACTCCAAAATCTAATGGGTTACAGCTGCCTGCTGTATCCAATCCATTGAAAAGTAAACATAGGGGACTTCCCTGGTGGTGCAGTGGCTGGGAGCCCGCCTGCCAATGCAGGGAACACAGGTGGGATCCTGGTCCGGGAGGATCCCATGTGCCGCGGAGCGGCTGAGCCCGTGCGCCACAACTACTGAAGCCCATGCTCTGCAGCAGGGGAGGCCACCGCAATGAGAGGCCTGCACACCGTGATGAGGGGTGGACCCCGCTCACCACAACTGGAGAGGGCCTACGTGCAGCAACGAAGACCCAACACAGCCAAAAAGAAATAAATTAAATAAATTAAAAAAAAAAAAAAAAGAAGGATATATTTGCTGACCTCGGTCTTAGAACATTGTCCTTAGTAGTTAGTGGTGCCATTCTGGAAAAGTTAACATAATCAGAAGAGTTCAGACAAATTGTGCGTGGATAGTCTAAGAAAGATTAGGTCATGTCACTTCCTATGAGGAAATATACCAAAAGTAGGGCTCCCCTGGTGGCACAGTGGTTGAGAGTCCACCTGCCGTTGCAGGGGACACGGGTTCGTGCCCCGGTCCGGGAGGATCCCACATGCCGCGGAGCGGCTGGGCCCGTGAGCCATGGCCGCTGAGCCTGCGCGTCTGGAGCCTGTGCTCCGCAACGGGAGAGGCCACAACAGTGAGAGGCCCACGTACCAAAAAAATAAAACTTAAAAATAAATAAACATAGATGACCAATTAGAATATGTAAATTGGACAAGTCATATTAGAAATAATTCAAATATATATTGGTTCCCTTTTCTCCAAACATGTCAGAATTCCTGCATGCTGCTGAAGCTCCGCCAGACAAAGCTTATCTAGATCTAGAAGAGCATCTGCAACCTTCAAATCATTTCTGTGATGCTCAGGGAAATCCTTCCACTGTGAACCTCAACGGACCTTTCCCCAATGCGGGACCTTTCCTGACTTGCTTCATACACTGAAGGATTCAACTAAAATACAAATCATAAGAACCTTCTCCTTCCCCTTCTATCCCCAGAAGACGAAGATGATCCCTTCTCTACAATGCCAATAAAATGTGTTGGATGAAAGGATGAAGAGTGACACCACTTGTGCAATGAGGCAATGGGGCCAACCTGGGCTGTCCGCAAAGGCCACAAACCAGCCTACACGTGATCAGAATTCCCTCTTGATGCAAGAGCTGGCTGTTCCTTGCTGTGGTGAATTGTTTATAAAAATGGCCATCATAGTTCCCCTGTCCTTGTGTGGAAATCTCTTTGCAACGTGACTTTGTTGCTCCCACCATCAGGAGGTGGTGTCTATTTTTCCACCCCTTGATCTAGATTTGGCCACATGACTGGCTTTGACTGGTGGCCCATGAGCAAATGTGTCGCAAGCAGAGGCATCAAAAGTGTTTGCTCCCCAGAGTCTGCCCTCCTCGCTCCTCCCTGGAAATCTTTCAGGCATGAGAGTAAGCCTGGACTAGCCTCCTCCTCGTAGGGGGTGAGGAAGTACATAAAGGGAAGCTGGAGTCACCCCACCAGCCCAGGTGAGGCCTGGATACGGGAGTGAGGTCCTCCCTTACCATCTGGCCCCAGCCACATCAGGCCAAACCAGAGGAGGCACCAGCTGACTCACAGAACTGAATAAAACAGTGGTTACTTTAAGGCGGCTAAGTTTGGGGATGGTTTGTCACAGCAAAGGTGAACCAATACACTCAACTTCGTGCTCCTTTTCTTGAACTCAAGGTTTACTCGTAAACGTGAAAGAGTGTGCAGAATTGATCATAAGCAGAATTTAACGTGACACACAGAAGACGTTTCCTGGAGTTCCTTCAGGGACATACCATAGTGCTTCTCAAACTTCTCAACCCTTTCCGAATAACCTCGAGGAGCCTAACCCTTAGAATCACTCACAGAAGGGCACAAGGTTTATGGATATGGATACGGATGGTCCCTGTGCCACTATGTGTAATGACATAAAACTTCCTATATACCAATCGTTAGGGAAAAGGATAATAAATTATGGTTTAAAAATACAGCATTTTTTAAAAAGCAGATGGGTAAAGGTTTTTCAAACAAGCGATTGGACTAACCATCTTGTAGCTTCATTGGCCACAGCAGGCATGACACACAGAACGTTTCCTGGAGTTCCTTCAGGGACATACCATAGTGCTTCTCAAACTTCTCAACCCTTTCCGAATAACCTCGAGGAGCCTAACCCTTAGAATCACTCACAGAAGGGCACAAGGTTTATGGATATGGATACGGATGGTCCCTGTGCCACTATGTGTAATGACATAAAACTTCCTATATACCAATCGTTAGGGAAAAGGATAATAAATTATGGTTTAAAAATACAGCATTTTTTAAAAAGCAGATGGGTAAAGGTTTTTCAAACAAGCGATTGGACTAACCATCTTGTAGCTTCATTGGCCACAGCAGGCATCTCTCCAGTCAGGAATCTGAGTTTTCATCTACAATCAACTTACTGCACTGGAAACTGCCGTCCACACATGAAACTTTTCCTAGAGTCCCAAGGTATGCAGCAAGTGGCTGGTTTAGGCAGCCAGAGTCAAGGGTGGGGTATTTTTAATTAATCCTTCATAAAAAAATGATCATACAGGTATAAGAAAATTCAACTTTTTTCTGGGTATTATGGATTTTCTAAAATGTATTGCTGGAGTACTCATGATAGTCAAAAAGTGGAGACAACCCAAATGTCCATCAACTGATGAATGATAAACAAAATGTGATATATTCACACCATGAAATATTATTTGGCCATAAAAAGGAATGAAGAACTGATACATGCTTCAGCAAGGATGAACTTTAAAAACATTATGCTAAGTAAAAGAAGCCAGATACAAAAGGCCACATAGCCTATGATTCCATTTATATGAAATGTCCAGAATAGGCAAATCCATAGAGACAGAAAGCAGACCAGTGGTTGCCAAGAGCTACAGGAGCGGTGGATGGGGAGTGACTGCTTAACTGGGCACAAGATTTCTTTGCGGGGTGATGAAAATGTTCTAAAATTTATCATAGTAATGGTTGTACAACTTTCCGAATCTACTAAAAACCACTGATTTGAACAATTTAAACTGGTGAATTGTATAGTATGTGAATTATATCTCAATAGAGCTGTTTGGAAAAAAATTCCAAATAAATAAATAAATGAATGTATCCTTAATGTTCCATGATGTGGCATGCAGATCAGTCCTCATTATAATGTAATATTAACTTGCATATTGAAATCCTGGTGAACATCTTAATCTTATCACTTTACTAAATCTCTAAAACCTATCAATTCCCAATTTATTTAGATCTGGGGTAGCATCTAATAGAGGAGAACTAAAACAAACCAGTAACAACCCAGAGTCCCAGGCTGATACCCCATGGTGTACTGCCTAATGATGATGAACTCTGAAACGTGGGCTCTATTGAACAGACATGCAGAAGCTGAAATGCCTATCTGGGTCCCTCATAGAGCACGCACGCATCTGTGTGTGTGTGTGAGTGGTGAGTAGCTGCGTTAGAGAGCTTGGAAAAACGTTCTTCTAAGAGTTTAAGGTGTGATCTGCCCGTCTGTGGAGAGGCTCTGTGGACCAGGCATTCCGGGCCAGACACCTCATCTCCCAAACTCCCCTCTCTCCTCAGTCTTAACTGTTTTGTGTACCTGTCTTGTCTCCCATCTGGACTCCAGGCTACTAGAGGGGACCACTAGGTCCAGTTCCATTTTCTCTCTCTCAGAACTTAGCAAAGTTCAATATAATCAGCAGGTGATTAAGAAATAAAGCAGGGCTTCCCTGGTGGCGCAGTGGTTGGGGGTCCACCTGCCGATGCAGGGGACAAGGGTTCGTGCCCCGGTCCGGGAAGATCCCACATGCCGCGGAGCGGCTGGGCCCGTGAGCCATGGCCGCTGGGCCTGCACGTCCGGAGCC